GGTGGGTGGAGGTGGGGGCTGGGGGGCAGGGGGGCCTCGAAATCACCCGGGTTGAGCTTGAGCGGCCAACACCACGGCTTCGCTCCTGTCCTCGGCAAGAGCCATCTATTCTTCTTCCTCTTTTATTCTCATCTTCTATTTTTCTTCTCCTTATTTTCGGTTCTCTTGTCCTCCTTCCTTTTCTCTTCTTTCCTTCATCAGGGTTGCCATGAAATTTAGGAAATGAAATCCCTGACATTTCTTCGATTTCCCTGACACACATTGAAACAACAGGAAAAAAATACATGATACTTAAATGAGCTTATAAATTAAGTATGACTTATTGGATGAAAAATGGTGGTGAAATATTATATCCCTTTTTCATTTACTGTAGATTTTTTCCTTTTCTTCTGCTTCTTTTTAAGAATACTTGATAGAATTATTTTTATAACGTATTTGTGAAGCCAATGTGCATATACAGAAGAATAAATTATTATCATTATTGTTTGAGTAAAATTCCCTCACGATTGCACGCATTTCTGCCAAACGGAACTATGTGCATTATTTCGTGAGCCCTGTTATGCATATTTTCTTCATATTCACATATGGCAAAGGAAATAGAATAGAAGAAAATAAAATGGAAGAAAAAATGAGTATGAAAAAAATAGAAAATGAAGGAGGAAAATAGGAGAACGAGAATATGGAAAAAGAGGAGGAGGTCAGTACAGAATAAACACCGCATAATTTCGCCTCCAGAGGCCATGCATTCGAAACTAAATGTAGATGCACCCAGATTTAGCGGAGGGTCAAGTACCATGAACTCACAAAACGGGACTTTTTTTCCTGTTCCAATTCTCACCATCTTCGGGCGCATTTCAAATCACAAATAGCACTCATGGAACGTGAAGAAAACGAGACGAGGATCAAACGAAGATTATTTCTTAAAAAAAGATTAAAAATAAGAAGAAGGAGAGGAAGAGGAAGAAGAAGAAGGAGAAGAAGAAGAGGAAGAAGAAGAAAAGATAATTGTATTTAAACATTTTATCCGGATTTGGTGAATTTGCTCTGCTTCGAACAACAAGTAAACGTATTTAAATCAAAAGAGCGTGTCTCCATTTTGATGCAGGACCATAAACCTATGAGAGTGCACGTGTGACAGGGTTCATGTCACAATAAAGATAGTTCCTTTTGATCCAAATTCGTCCAAAAGAGGCTCCGATCAAAAGGTGGGCCCGACTTTCGAAAGAGACAAAGGTGAGGGCACCCCAAATACCCACTGATACCACAGCTTTTGATTAAACAATCCACCGAGTGTGTACTTTTTCTTATCTGCTTGTGTTTATCCCGCTGATACCACACGTTTGTGTCCCACACGAACACGGACACCCTGCTCTCCCACATTTGTGTTTGTGAGGGTGTGTAAGTGAGGGGGGAGGGGTAAATCGGAGAATACATATTTTAGCGGCGCAAATACCGATTATACAGGTTGTTTACAAGAATTTCATTTTGAATTTTCCGGATATTTTCCCGCTTTTTCTGATATTTTCAATGAAATTTCCTAATTTTTTGCGAGAATGAATAGATACTGGTTGCTTTTAAAAACAACCAAACTTGAAGGATTAAGTCAAACTTTTGAAGAATGGTTGAAATACTTGGAGTTGCCTCATCCATGGCAGATTTTTCTGAAATTTTCCCGATTTTTCCTAATGACACTCAATTTCCTTTTACTTTCCGGTTGTTTTCTATGACTGTAGGCATCCTGCATGTTTAGTAATAAAATGTACACGATCATTTCCCTTTAAAATTCTTGTACGATTTTTGGTGGCAAAACAAAAGCACTTTGCTGTTCCTTACAGGAATTTCGTTTCAGGTAAAGAAGGAGATGCACTATTTTCACATCACTGTATTGCGTTACTTTCCTCCGACTAGAAGTGCTCCAAATGACCCCCGATGAGGTTTGAAGTTAAAAGTTTATCCAAAAAAGAAAATTCTGTCTTCCAAATTATACCAATACTGGTGATTGCCAGTGGCGTGAATTATCGATTATCGATATTTCCCCATTTGAAGCTGAGGTAAAGAATCGATTATTGAGGTGTTTGCTGAGAGCACACTGTTGATCGATTCTTTTCCATAGGTTTAAATGGCAGATCAATCGATACATCGCAAAGCACGCCACGCCACTCGTATAATTGCCCACTTCCCACAGCCCGCTCACTACCAGCATCACAGGCGTAATTGATTCTTACAGATCGCAGATCCGTCCCAATTAAAGATCAGTAGATATTCTCCCCAAGTTGGCAGAATCCCCTTTAAATCCGTTATATATAATCGATCCTTGGTGCGGTAGCATGCCTCGATACATCGATTGTTTCACATGTGTTAAGATGGGCGAAGGGCAGTACTGCCAACTTAAGAGAATCATCGGGGTGATTTACATAACTATCGAGCGCTATATGCAAACGTTATGGTTATGTACTCACGTGGACTGATAAACGGTCGCACACTTAATAGAATCCTAGATTGAGGGCTTCTATGCCACTTACCTGGAACAAACAGAAAAAATTCGAAATTAGAGGGGAAGTATAATTTTTGATTTATGATGATTTTATTAAAAGAGCATTGAATGAATTCGGAAATTAATTGATGAATGGTGTTGGCTTTTCAACTTCTGAGTGGAATAAATTGATTATTGATATCCAGTCGCGGTTCTTGAAAGTTGGCAAGACCCTCTTTCCTCCTGAATGTATGTAAAAAAATCGATTCTTAGTGAGGCAGCTTGCCTCGCCTAAAATCGATATTTTAAATGGATTTAAATGGTGGAAAAACAATGCTAACAACCTGAAAAATAGCCAATGTTGATATCGACAGTTGCGGAACAGGGAATTTTCGCGCTTGCTCAAGTGCGAACCTAAGCAACCCCCCTTTTTTCCATCCAACCCTTTTTTTTTGGGGGGGGGGGGTTACTTCCATAAATATGTGAGAATGCTTTCGAAAAAATGAACAGCGTCTCTTCTAAAAACGGTAAAAAATTCCTTTTGAGAAAGGAAAAAAAAATTGTATCAGGTAGGTAAGTTTTGAGGGTCGGAATTGGCTTATGAGTGAATGGGGATTTCTTGTGGTGGGAAAAAAGAAGGAGGAATATAAAAGTACAAATTTTCCCCTTGAAATTGAAAAAATAGTGAAATCCAAAAGAACAATATTGAGAAAATACATCAAAACGTGAAAAATTAGTAACAAAAGATATAGAGAATAAATAAAAGAATGAAAAAATTTCTTTTGTATCATAATTGACTAAAAAAGAATTTTTGCTGAAGATGGGAGGATTTTTTGTTGAAGAAGCTAGGATCCCTGTAGGGAGCTGACTTGGGCGGTGCTGCCATTTCCCGGAATCTTCTGAATCCCCAGAATTTTCAGCTATTTTCGGAATTTCCTCGAACTTTGCGGTTGTTTGCCAGTTTGGCCAATTATTTGATCAAAATGGGCTTTTTGATCAAATTTGACGATCTTCGAAACTAAATCCGGGCGTACTTTCGGAATTTTTTTAAAAATCGGAATTTTTATAGGAACTTTGGCATATCGGAATATGTTTCCGGAAATGGGAATTATTTCGGAATGTTTTGATGCAATAAAATGGCAGCACTGGGCTTGGGGGACGAAGGCATGAAGTAGGGCAGTTGGAGCGGAGCGCGAAGGTTGTGTCGGGAAAACCTTTGCGCCTCCCTCTCCCGTCCCCCCGATCCTCCCCCTCTTGTGCATCCCCCCTCTCGTCCCTGTCGTGAGTCCCATGATTCGGGGATGATGAGGATGCACCATGACGAACCGAGGCGGGGGACGGAGCATTCCAAACTGAGCCAACTTGGGGGTTTCCCACTTCACCCCCCGCACCACCCTGCTCCTAAATCCCCCCCTTCCCCGCTGTAACTCCCGCAAACTTTTCCCGTCCTTCTCATTCATCCTCGGCATCCACCTGCCTTTGAGGAATCCCTCTTTTTCCTCATACTTCCTTTTAGTCCCGGATATGTTTCCAGATTCCCGCCACTCGGACGGATTTAATTTCATAATTATAGAAGGCTGTTTATCCTTTCTCACATGAGCGACCCATGATCGATAATGCCCATTCCATGGTCCTTGGTCCAAGTCCAGGTCTTACAGGAAGGTAAATAATAACAGGGCTAAAAAAGAGCAAGGAAAGGAAAGAGAAGGAGGAAAGGAAAAAGAAGACGGAGATGAAGACGAAACAGAAGACGACGAAGAGGAGGAAGACGACAAAGAGGAAGAAGGAGAATGAAAAGACAAAGAGGAAGAAGAAGACGACGAAGAAGAAGAAGGAGGAGACGAAGAGGACGAAGAACAAGATGAAGACGAAGAGGAAGAAGAACAAGACGAAGACGAAGAGGAAGACGACGGAGAAGAAGAAAAGGAAGACGACGAAGAGGAAGAAGAAGAAGAATGAGAAGACAAAGAGGAAGAAGTAGACGAAAAAGACAAAGAGGAAAAATGAGAAGACGACCAGTAGAAGCAGACGAGGAAGAAGAAAAAGGAGAAGAAAAGTAAACTTTGAAACCTTTCAACCCGTTGTTTCCATACGGGCTGATCCCCCTCCCCCTCCTCAAATTATGACGTAGCGGATTCGTATTTCCGTTCACGGTGTGACGCGCAACGCACGCACGCGCTCGCGAGAGAGAAAGTGCGCGATAACCGTTGCCGATAAACTTTTTTGTTTGGGGAAACAAAGCCGCATCGTTGCTAGATGGGGCTGAAAAATCGGCACTTTTTTCCGTTTCAACCGATGTATATCCCCATTTAATTGCACAGCTTGGCGACAGCTTGCAAAGCCGACCGAGGCAGGAGCAGGAGCCTTCGAGGAGAACAAAGAGGAATATTGCCGTGCTAACGAAAAACGCCGTATGAGCCTTTAGGCGTTGCCAGATTTACTTCGATGAAAACCGAATTTTCTTGGAAAATTGCGAAAATTTTTCTTCAAAATTTTCATATAATTTGGTCCGCAATTTGATCTGAAATATCCGAAAATTTCAAGGGGGAATATGAATGACTTTCCTTAAAAATACATGTTTTACCCGGAGAAATTTGGCAACTCTCGAATGTTCATACGGCGTTCTTCCTTAGCACGGCACAATAAGCCGCCGACCCAAAGTCCAGTTCCAGTCCACCGTAACTTAACTATCAACGTTACATCTGAAGGAAGGGGGGGGGGGAGGGAGGCGCCCTGGGTGAGGAAATGCGTTTACGCGTGTCGTAGCCACCATGTAATTGGACTACATTTTGCAATGAGAAACCACCATCTCTGCCTTAATAATTTCGAGACAACATATCTGCAGTTCTGCAGTCACGGGCCTCAGAGCTGTAACTTCATTTCCAGACTCGAGAAATCGTACGGAAACCATGCGATGTCTGCGTTGCCTGGAGAATATTTTGCACTGCCAATGAGAGACGTATGGCAATAGTTCCCTTATGTAGATAGGTGCTTTCATGCATAAGCCAGAAATTTTAGTGGTGAGATCAAACGAAGTGTAGTCAATGTGTCAAGGAGAGCAGTTTTTGGGTGAAAGAAAAAAATGAACTTCCGAGACAATAACTAAACGAGAGTCCGGTTCAGATTTGAAACATCAAGAAAAATACGGAAAAATCGTTTGGGATTGTTTGGAAAAATCGAACGGAGTCGTTTGAAAAATTAGGATATTTGATTGAAACGTCAGGGTAGGATCGGAAGATACGACAAATGGGTGGTGCTTATAAATTAACGTCTTGTTATTTCTATCTAATTAAACTTGAATAGAACAGGAAAATATTTGTTTGAGGCGATGAGAGTGGAGCGTCACCGTTTGATTTGCTCGTGTGTCTAACCTTGCGTGACATAATATGATGAGTGCATCGATAGTAATGAGTGCATAGATAGTGATAATTGCATTAGCCAATGAACACGATCGGCGAGGACGGTGGACGGCGAGGGGCTTAAGTAGCAACGGCGCATCAACGATCAATAAAACGTTTAGCTACCGGTTGAACGCCCCCGCCCCCCAATGCTTGCCCACATCCAATCCAATCCACGATTTCATGCTTCCACGATAAAATAAAATCACACCGCAACTAAAAGAATTTTAGAAAATGGGCTCAGCACACCCGAAAACATTTCAAAAATTAAAAACGAAAACAAAAGATCAATGTTACAAAATAAGATAAAAAAATAAAACAAAATTGAATGAAAAAACGAGGGGAAAATAATTAAAAATTGATCAAAAACATTTGAAATGAAAAAAAAAAATAAATGATAAAAAAATAAAATGAAAAAGATAAATAAAATAAAGAACGAATAAATAAGACGAAAATATTAATGAGATGAAAAAGTAAATAAATAATATAAAAAAATAGGATGAAAAAAAATTAAAATGAAGCTTTCGTAATCAAAACTGCAAGTGCCTAAAGTGTTATTTACCAAAATAAATTCATTTCCTTAACACGACCAGTACACTCTTCTCAGCCCAGGAAAAAACTGTTGAGATGACGATTCATCTACTTATGAAACTTTTGATTTTCTCAGTAATGCCATTAGGATATTTTTTCCCCTTTATTTCGTTCGTGTTCTTGGAAAATAAAGTCAGGCATCTTCACTTAAAAAGAAAATTGAAAGAAGAGGAAAAAAACCTGCTTTCTTCTGATTGGCGTTTCATGAGAGGAACTCCGGAATGACGGTTCTATAAAAAAATAAACCCACAAAATCTCGAAGAATCGTGTTAATTGGGTAAATGTATACTTTTTTATCTCATTTTATTTTATTTCATTGCACAAGTCGGCTAATTTATTGACCTAATTAAATTGGAAACCGGTAACAAAATAGAGACTTTTAGATTGAAATGAGGAACGGAAAACGCAAAAAAAAAAAAAAAAAAAAAAAGATGAAAAAAATATAGAATTCAATTTCCACAGACTTTTAAGCGAATTACGCCTTTGACTCCTGGCTGAGAAAAAAAATATTGCCTAGGAAAAAAATTGGACCAAGCGACGGGAAATTTTCACGATCCATTACAGAGAGTGCTGGTAGCGGGGACTGGGTGGATTTCGAACTCGGAGCAAAATTTTGCGGTCTTTCCTTAAATGGAGAGGAGATCGTGGAAATTTTTCTCGACCTAATATTACCGTTAGGATTAAGTACGGATAAAAATGCGGGCCATAAGAAAAAGATCAAATACACTCAGGCCAGGAGGATTTCCATAGAATATCCGTGAATTCAGAATATACCTATGGTTTTCGAGTAGCAGGGCGTCCTATGCGATATATCGATTGATCTACCATTTAAACCTATAAAAAAAGATCGATTTACAAGGTGTTTGCAACGAACACCTTAATAATCGATTCTTCACCATACCTTCAAATGGGGAAATATCGATAATCGATCATTCACGCCACGCCACTGCGAAGTATGGACGGATTATTGTTAAAACGAACTATGTGCATGCATAGATACGTCGATAGATCGACCGGGCAACAAGGCTACCGCCCGTTCTTGGTAGACTTCATGTCGTCG